CGTGTCAGGATGAAAACACTCCTTGGTGGAGTTAACATTTTTTTTTAATCCATAATATCAGAACTGGAAAGAGTCCCATTATTATCTAGTCCAAGAAGAGCATACATCTAATGAACCAGGTCCCATGGAATGGTTGTGTCTGCCTGGAAGGCTGTGTTGAGAAAGGTTCTGAGGCTGGGCTCAAGGGGCCAAGAGTGTAGCATTCTCTTAGTAAGGTCTGCTTAGGCAGGAAAGCAACTTAGCTAGTGGTCTCCTACACTTCAATCTCCCCTTTCCCCTGACCCTTCAAATTACCTCATTAATAAAGCTTCCCAAGTGATCTTTCTAACACAAAGAGACGATCACATTAATCCCCCAATTCAATACCCTTCAATTTTCCAGCAGCACCAAATGCCAAGCCCTGCATGAGCCATTCCTGTGTCTCTCTCTAGCTTCACCTCCTAACCCTTTCCTCATATGTTAAACCCCAGCAGTACTGAGTTACTTTTATTTCACCAAGACTCTCCATGTTTTCTCATACCACCACACAGTTTCACCCCAAACTGCATAGAACAGCTTCTCTCAACTTGCCCAAACGGCAAACTTCTATTCATCCCTCAAAACCCAACTCAAGAATGAACCCTATGGAGGCTTCCTTGACTCCCCTAGTAGACTTAAGTGCTCTTTCCCCAGTGTTCCCCCTGCACCTTTATTCCTCCATTAAGCCCTCATTGCACTGCTGTGAGCCTCTGAGGAGCAGGAACACAATATCTAATTTTCCTCTGTGCACACAGCTGAGATCCCAGCACACTGGCAGACAATAAATATCTGAGTATGTGAATGAATGAGTCAATTAATGACTTTCTTTCCCCAGTGCATACGTTTGTTCATCACCCTTTGAAACCAGATTGGCCTTTCAAACATACACATCATTCTGTGGACAAACACTTATTGAGGGACCGCCAGGTGCAAGGAGTAATGGAAGCAAACACAGCTCTCCACCCTCGTGGAGTTTGTAGTCTGGTGGTAAAGATAGCTAATATAAGAGACACAGATGAAAACCTATGTCATTACAAGCTGAGAAAGATGTGGTGAGGATGAACACAGCGTGGTGACGGTAGGAGGGGGTGGACCACTTAGTTGACGTTTGGGAAAAGATAACGGGGTCAGACCCACAGGATGAAAAAGGGCCAGATGTGAAAAGGACAGGACAGGGTCCTAAGCGCTCAGAATCCTAGGCACTCAGAAAAGATGAGCAAAGGTTTCAAGGCAGTAAAGAGCTTGGTGTGTCTGGAACTGAAAAGTAGCCATGGAGGCTAGAGTGGAGTGAAGGGAGAGAAGGGAAACTTGGGATAAAGCTGGGGAGAGGCGTAGAGACCCAATCATGCAGGGCCTTGTCAAAGTAAGAAGTCTGAATTTGGGGCTGAGGGCCATAGGGAGCCATGGGAGGGGTTTGAGCGACACAGTGACAAGATCTGATTTCCTTTTGAAAGAGGTGATTCTGGCTTCTGTGTAGGGAATGGCTCATTGGAAGACCACTGCAGTCATCAAGGCAAGAGATGATGTTGGCTTGGCCATGGATGGTGGAAAGAACTTGATGAATTCGGAGCATATTTTGGAGGGAAAGGCAATAGGACCTGAGGTAAGCTTCGTACCCATCTAGCTCCCCCTGTAAAAGCCTTAAACACAAGTCTTCCTCATATGACTCTGTTCTCCAGTTGCTCCTCTGGTCTTCCAACTTTAGTTGAGACAATTCCAGCCCAGGAATAGAGAAGTGTGCTGGAAGCCTCCAACACAGGGATGGAGGTTACTTGCTGGCTGGAATCCTTGCCTGACTTGAGCCTCTTGAATCACCACTGGTAGAGCTGGCACAATGCCAGAGTAAGTCCAAACAGCAACTTGCATATAAAGTAGAAAATGTCCCTCTCTCTAACCATGCTTTGCTAAGAGTTAAACTCAAATGCTAAAAATGGTGGTCTTGGGAAGTGTGGGTTTTTAAGACTTAAAGAGGATGCAGAAAAAGATTTACAGGGCAAACGAAAAAGACCACACTTGGGTAGGTGTGCTCCTTTTCTGAGGTGTTAGGGAGAAAATAAGATGAAGAAAGATCTTTAGGTCTAGTTTTTAAGTTGGATGTGAGTCCATAGGTGTCTGTTTTATCACTATGTTTTATAACTTAGATGTAACATATGTGTATACAGAGGGTGCCAAAAACATGTATACACAATTTAAGAAAGGAAAAAGCTTTTAAAATTGTAATACTCAATATATACCAATAACGAAAGATGAATACAAGTCATGAATACACGTCTGCAATTACAAGAGGTGCTCAAAGTGGCTACCATCAGCATCCAGACACTTCTGATAACGGCGAACTACCGTTTGAGCAATGTTGACCAAAGTACCCACTTGTATACATTTTTTGGCACTCCCGGTATATTCGTGTGTATGTATCAAATGTTATATTGAAGAAAAGGAGGAAAGATAACTCTTAAGGGAAAAAAGTGAAACTACTTCCATCTGCTCAATAGCCAATGAGCAAATAAGGAAAAGCTGGAGCAAAATTGTTAGCAGCTTTGCAATAATGAGCTGAGCCCTAGAAGGCAGGTCAGGACAAAGATTCAGGCTCAAATCCCAGGTTCCTGTATTCATTCAGTAAACACTGGCTTATGCATGCTCTGGATGAGATGCTTCGCTCGGAGCTGCCCTTGAAGAGCTCACGGGCCAGAGGGGGTGCGCAGCGCAGAGAACCATCACTGGAGGACATGGTGGTGAGTGCTGATTCAAGCCTGTTCTAAGCCAATCAGGAGGGATTAGAGAAGGTTTCCCAGCGCAGGTGACAAAGGCACTGATCCCACAGAATGAACAGAAGCATTTCAAGCGGACAAAACAGTAGAGAGCTGGTGCCAGGTTAGTACCATGGAGAGAACCAATATGTGTTTCTCTTTCCAGCTCTACTTTAGTCACCATATTGGTGGCTTAAAATCAACCATGGTGGGAATACTTACACCATGGAAATCGGCAAGTGCTACAAATCGCAGTGTGGTGTTTTGTTTTCTTTTTTCAGAACACTGCCGAGGGTGAGCATTAATAGACCCGGGAAGACTCGAGTTGTGCCTAACATGGGGGCATTGGGGAAGGTGAGGATAAAGTCAAAGGCCATGGGAGTACATTCCTGGGCCAAGAGAGACTTCTGGGGTAATTTGCCATCTTCTAGCAGAAGATCTGGCAAATCATTCATCTCTCTCAGTCTCAGTTTCCTCAGCAGTGATGAAAATTCAACAAGGTATATTATATGTAATGTACTTAGCACAGTACCTGACACATGGTAAGTGCTCAATGTGGATTACCTACTAGGCCACATGTTTCAGTTCGTGTTTCAAGGATAAGAAAGAAAATATTGGCAATGACTAAAAGAAAAATCCTCTCATTCCATCTGCCCATGATTGTAGGCTGGTGAAAGGGCAGCTCCTCTGAACAGAAGTTTACAAAATGTCCAAAATTTAAATTAAAAAAATAAAACCCTCAGGCTGGCCGAGTGGCTCAGTTGGTTAAGAGAGCGAGTTCTGAGCAGCAGGGTCACCAGTTCGATTCCCACGTGGGCCAGTGAGCTGTGCCCAAGCTGAGCTGCCACTGAGCTGCTAACAGGTGGCAGGATGGCTCAGCTGGTGAGAGCATGTGCTCCTAACAACAAGGTTGCCAGTTCGACTCCTGCATGGGATGGTGGGCCGTGCCCACCCGCAACTAAGATTGAACACAGCACCTTGAACTGAGCTGCCCTGAGCTGCCAACGGGCAGCTGGATGGTGACTGGACTTGGAGCTGAGCTAGTTGTGCCCTCCACAACTAAGATTGAAAGACCATAACTTGGCTGTTCTTCTTCCCCAATTCTCCAATAAAATCTTTTTTTTAAAAAACCCTCAAAATTGAAACCATCATGTGAAAGAGCAAAAGATGACATTAAATTAGATAAATATATGTAAATTTCTCAGCACAGTTGCTGATACATAGTAAGTTTTTAATAAATTACAGTAGTTTTAGTCCTTATTTTGAGAAACATTATTTCACATGCCAGATCAAAGTGAAGAATTCAAATGAGGCAATATTTTTTTCAGAGTTCTACTCAATGCCCTGGATAATATTAATTCTTTCCATGATGGCTAGTAGTATCATGAGCTATTCTCAACCTTGGATAAACTCTAAGGATTATAATACCTATTCCTTGCCAGTGACTCTTCCCTAGCCACAGGTAGTCTCCTCATATTTATGCAGATCATTAGTCAATCAAAGATTAGAGGGGACCCTTCTGTAATCAAGATCCTCGCTCTCTCTCTCTCTCTCTCTCTCTCTCTCTCTCTCTCTCTCTCTCTCTCCTCTCTGGTATTTTTTTCCCTAAAAACTCTAGCAAACTTGGTCCCCCTGAACTGTGAACTCTGTCTTCTCAACTCAGTGAGCCCAATGGACTCTGTTTGGTTTTGTCTTTCTCCACTGGTTTGGAACTCTGTCCAGGACGTGAGCTGGAACCATCACAGGGCTCACCTCCTTTGCTTCCCTTCCCTAAGGGACACTGTTCTGCACCCTCCAAAGTCTGAGAACTTTTCATTTATCTAAATATTTAATTATTTAAGACAAGAGGATAAATTCAGTCAGCTCATGACCAGAGCAAAAATCTCCAGAAGGATATTTTAAAGCTATAGAAAACAGGGCGGGGAAAAAAATGGACCAAGTAGAGATTAAATGCAAAGAGCACAAAATAAATGACTAATAAACATTTGTTGGGTTAGAAATGAACCAGTCACTGACTAAAGTCCATTTAAAATTTTTTACTGGGAGAAATACCCCTGCTACAACAGGGTGAGACGGAAGCACACCCATACTAGAGATATCTCAACATTTCTGACCACATCGCAGCAAGAGTCTATTGAAGCCAACCAGTCACAATCATAAGGAAAAGATGAGTTAAGATGCTGAAACTACCATAAAGGAGATGAAGACATAGGGTGCTCATTTCTAGGAAAAAGGGGGAAGTAGGATAGCAGAGAATCATGACTTTGGGATAAAGTCCTTCAGGGAAAATAGAAACCTACACTTCGGAATGAGACCATGAATCACAAAATCTGACCAGAAGTCACAGTGCATTGTGGAAAAGAGCTGGTTCAAGAGATAAGAGAGAGCAACGAAATTGTAAGTCTGCTCTTTCATTAGCCCAGGAATACCAATAGGTGGTAAACCTACTGTCCCTTCTTTCTCCCATACCCATGACAGACAGCACTAATCAACTAGGGCTCTCGCATCATGGAGCCCAGAGGCTGCCTTCAGCCATCTCTACACTGCATCAGAGGCAGCCTCTACTAATCGATCCTGGTTGGCTCTGAAGTTGAAGCCAATTTTCCTTACCAGTTTTGGACACTTGTATGCCATTTTTGTGGCAATCTTGATGGCATGGTGGTGGGAAAAGAAATGCAAATATAAATCTCTAGGTAATTAAGCCTACCTATGTAGAGCCTCCAGTACTTAATAAGTAGACATAACATTTACACACATTTACATAAATATTTACTTGTGCATATATAATATTTTTATAACTAAAAGCCTGTTAGGATCACGTGAGGTAAAGGTAAGAGACTGCTCTGAAAAATAAGGCTCTGAACTTCAGGTTCAACATCACGAGGCCTTTGTCATCGGTCTCTCTGGTGTTCTGCTAAGATGCACAAAATCTGTGACCCATCTTTCTGGACTTCTGGTGACATTTGGTGTCTTCTCCACGTCTAGTCCCCCACACAGCTGTACATAGGGTGACCAGCTGTTCTATTCCTGGTTCTCCCATGTCTACCAGCATGCTCTCTCGCCATTCTATTTCCCTCCTCCCCCACAACACTTTTGTACCAAAGCAGAGATGGCGTAGTCTGTGCAGGCTGCTATAATAAAACACCACAGACTGTGTGGCTTAAAAACAACACAATTTTATTTCTCGCAGTTCTGGATGCTGAAAGGCCAAGATCAAGGTGACAGCACTGTCGCATTCTCTAGGGAGAGCCCTCTTCCTAGTTCACAGGCTACATGTACCTTCTCTCTGTGTCCTCTCTGATGACAGGGGCTAGGGAGCTCTCCGGAGCCTCTTCTACAGAAAAAAATACATACTCCTGACCATTTCCTCCAAGGCCCCTTCCTGTTTCCCCGCAAGACCCAATCCCCACCTCATCTCTCTCTCTCTGCACCCCTTTTTTTACAAACACACACACCTCGAAGGGCAAGGACTGTGGCCCCCAGGTCCTAGCCCAGAAAAGGTACTTGGTGACGTTGGATGCATACGCAAATGAGGGAACAAATAAATGAATTGCCGTAGAGTGATTGAGTGCTCCTAGTTTAACAGTTCTCCTCCAGGTGGTGACTCGGGGCTGACAGTCCCTCCTCCTTCTGTGTCTCTGGCCTTTCCTGGATCCTCAGAGTCCTCGCCACCCAGCCAGCAGATGAAGAAAGAGAAAGAGAGAGGAAAAGTGCATGGGAGTGTGCAGGGCAGCACAACAATACTGTCATGAATCAGGCAGCAGCCCCTGACTGCAGGGAAAGCTGGAAGCCTGACATCACGGAAGTCGGACTGGGGAGGCACACAGCAGGCTCTGGTAAGGCCCTAAAATCTTCCGTCAACACCCAACTCTCCAAAGTTCATCAAAAGCCTTTCGACATGTCACCTGAGTGGACTCTTTTCTTGTCACCCTTGCCCACTCCTTTTCAGGGCTCCAGCCCATCATTCTCTGCATCTTGACACTTTCCCATGCAAATCTGGTCTCCTCTTTAGAATAAAGGGGGGGGGCGGGCAGGAAGAGGGCAGCCATGAGACCAGGGCAGGGACTGTGCTCCCTCTGGCGCTTTGCTCCCAACACCGCCAAGCCAGAGGCTGGGCACACGGGGAAGCTGTCTGTAGCTGCCCTCACACCAAGGTCCAGATGTGTCTAGACCGCATCACCAGACTGGCTGTGTCCGAGGAGATCCGGGTTTTACCGCCCATTTTCTCCAAGGGGAGGTTGGCTGGCGCCCTCTGTGCGTGCCCTGCCAGCCCAGCTGGTAGGGGGAGTGGAGGGACTGAAATTTCACTTTCCCAGAAACAGCAGATTCAGCAGCTGTGGCTGCTACAGGAGACAGAGATCTGCACCGGCTTGATTTCTCTCGGCCTTTATCGCCATACAAAGAGCAGGAGCTATTACACCCTGTCCGATGGCCAAGGACTCACCTCGTCTGGCATGGGTGAAATGATACCCCAGCCTCTAGAGTCACTAGACGCCTCCTTCCCCTAATGCTCACGTTGCCTGGCTCCTCACTGCCCTGCCCCAGGACAGCTGTTCCCAGCCGGGACAGATCCTTTCCCTGCCACCTGGACTCCCAGAGAACCAAGTCCCTTCACAAAACCCTGCCAGGCTGGGACCAGGTTTGGACCCCACAGGGAAGGCTAGGACAGGGAACAACATGTTTGGAGACTGAAGCCCCACCTCCGCGTTTGCCTGAGCTTTAAGAAGCAGGGTGGGGGGCAGGGGTGCTGCTTTTCCTCTGGCTCCTTCCTTCCTCTCACCCTGGAGCCCCTGGGGAGTTGGAGCAGCTGCTGAGAAGGAGGCAGCTGAGCGGGATGGAGAATTGCTGCCTTCGGGAGGGAGGTCCTGTCTCCAAACTTGGAATTCCTGTGCCAATGTTAAAAAGGCAAGGCTCCAGTAAGCGCTGACCCAGAACTTCCCAGAAGTCCTCCTCCGAGGCCTGGTTGGGACCCTGAGGCTGGATGAAAAAGGGTGGGAAATTAGAAAAATGGGCTGGAAGGAAGTGCTGCTGAACACCATCTGTCCACAGCTGGCCTCCTGCCCCCAGGACCTCATCTCGCCCTGGGGCTGGGCGCTGGTGCCTACTGCTGGACAGTGCACGTGTTGTGTCCAGCTCACCTTTGCCCCAGCCCCTCCCCACTCGGGTCATCCGCCCTTCCCCTGGGTCCCCACCAGTGTCTCCCCGCAGCCTGAGAAAGGACCCTCAGCTCACCTGGGTCGGAGACATCCTCCTTCTTACACCCCCAGTCGAGGATCCACCGGGTCTATCAGGGTAACACACTTACCAAGTCCCCCTGAAAGTCCTGGATATTTTTCCTGCCTTCATTCCTTGGACAAGCCCTCCCTGAGCACCTGATGCATGCACAGCCCCATGCCCAGCTCTGGATGTAAAACCTGACCAGCATCCCTTCTCTGCCCTCCGCACGCTCTGAAGCTCATAGAGAAAGGAGATAAGCAAAAAAAAAAATCATGACAACGACAAGGTCGTGGTCAACACTTTTTGAGCACCTACTATGAGCCAGACCCTGTTCATAGGCACTACCATATAAAAAGAATATGACCCAGCCCCTAGGAGAGAAAAAGAAAGCAGCACGCAGTTTCTCTCTCTCTGCTGCAACTTCACCCCAAGAAACCACTGAGAGCAACAGCCCCCTGCTCCAGACCTTGCAGGGGGTTCACCTGGCAGGTGAATCGAGGACACATTTTCAGATGGATGGGGATTTGCAGGAGGTGTTGCTGGTACCTTATCCACGTCGTTAAACATAGAAGGTTTCTTACTGCAAGTGCTTGACACGCTCCCCCAGCGCATCTCCTCAGGCTCCAGGAGCTAACTGAGGTCTCCTGGCCCCAAGTAGGGCAGGCCAGCAGTGATAGAGGGGAGTCGGTGGCTAAATGCCCCAGCTTTCCCCCGACCCCGTGGCAGTGGGGGCAACTGGGAGGTGTGCTCCACATGGTCGTCTGGAAGTCCCCAGCAGGGTCGTTGTGCCCCAGTTATCCGAAGCAACAGTTTGCTTGTTAACACACCCTGTACTGGCTTCCTCCCCTTCCCTAGTTCGCTCCTGACTCCCAGCCAGTGCTTCCTCCCACGGTGACCACTTGCTCTGGAATCCTCCTTTCAAGAGCTGCTTTGGGACCAGCCCAGCCTAAAGCATCACTCCAAGCCATGTCCATGACCTGGTCCACACTCACAAGTTCCTGCTTGCATCACTCCCCACCCTCCAGAGCCCTCTGCCCCAGTTGGCCACATCCTCCTCCTCCAACGCACCAAGGGCACTGCCCCCACCTTGGCCCGTGGCACGGATGCAACCTGTAATCTCCATCTCAACCCGTCCCAGCGTCACACCCAAATGCTGCTCAGAAGAACTCTTTATTTCCACCAAGGCAAATTCTAGTTCTGTCTCTTCCACAAAGCCATTCCAGCCACTCCTGAAAAATGCTGAGGAATACATAATTTCTTTACTTCTGCAATCTTTTCTCAAGGAAGAGAAAAGGATGGATTCAGGAGAGGGTGAGAAGTGGAAAGAGGGAAAGAGAAGGAGGAAGGGAGAGGAGGGGAAGGGAGGGGAGAAGTCAGGGACCACTCTCAGCCTAAAATGATTGGTTATCAGTGAAAAAAATGAATAATTCTTCCTTTTTTTAGTTATAAATTTTGCCTCATGTGAAACAAACTTTTCTTTGCTATTTCTTCAGGCTTCCATAAAGATCCATGTTATTTGTGGAGACTGACAACACCAAGACCACAAAAACGGGGTCAGCTCTTTGCTATGCCAAATCTTAAAATGGAAGTTGAAGTCTTTCTTTTAACCCAGAAACAGAGGCCCCCATTTGGGCCCTTTCCAAAGCATCTAATGACTTAACTATCCAGATGTCAGAAGAGGACACGGCAACAGCCACCCTGGGCCCATGTCCGTGCTTCTCAGGCCAGAACTGGCGATGCCCCTGCACCCAGCCCCATGGTCCCAGCCCTCTGCCACCTCATCCCCAGTCTGACAAGCCACCCTAATGGATTGACCGTGGCCTTTGCTGGAGGGGCTAAATATAAAACTTTGCTGCACTCCTCTTGTCAAAGTTAAAAGCTTTTCATGTCTGTGTTAATGTTTTTTTTTTCTGTCTGCCGGCTCCAGTGACAGATGCGACATCTTGTGCTGAGTAACTGGAGAGTGAATGGCTGGCAGGGGCTGAGGAGGTAGGAGTCATTTATCTCAGAGAATTTAAGCAGGACGACATGGCTGGGAACAAGGGGGAAGGGGGGGGAGGGGGCGAGGCTGTCACCTGATTACTAATTCCAAGATTTCTCCTGCGAGAGAAAGGAGGAGTGAGCAAAGATGAAGGGAACAAAAAGCAAATCAATAAACAGGTTAGCGTCTGCGTCATTATTAACTCTCTGTCAGCACCCCATTGAAGCAATCGCTCCAGGCGGCCTCGGATTTAATGGTCAGTGCAATAGATTTACTGTAAATGTTATCAGAGGCAGGGGCGGGGGCAGGGGGCGCGGGGAGGCCTTCATTGACAAATCATTGGATTGCGCCTGGATGCATGGAGCCATTTCTGAACGTGCATAAATAACCCAGAGCTTAGGTCCCGGTGGCAGTTCCTGCCTCTTATTTAAATGCTGCCCCCCACCTTCCCCTGCATTCTTCACTTTCAGAGTGTTCCAGCAACCAGGTTCCCTCTACATCTTCCCAAGGGCCTTCTGAGTTGGCCTTTGGCAAGCCTGGAAAAGGCCAGGTAGCAAGTCTGCCTCAAGGCCCTCTGGGATCCGAGGAGAGTCAGAGAGCCGGGACTGAGCCCAGGCCCCAGACAGCCGGCCACGGGTCCTGGGGCTGCACTCAGGCAGGTGAGAGGCCTCTGAAAGTTCATTCCTACAGGAAGCATGCTCTGAGCTCAGGGTCTAGGGGCTGGGATGCCTTCCTGAACTCCCTCCAGATCACTCTGCAGTCCCTGATTCCTCTAATCCTCCCACTTCCTGTACTGATTAACAGCAAATGCTTTAGACCCCAAAGCTGGTGGGTGGGCTTTTGACCAAGTCCATCCATCAGAATACAAGTTACTGTATTGCCAGGAACCTATGGCAGAACAGGAATCCAGGAGCAGTTAGAGACAGTAGGCAGAGAACTCATTAAGGCAGCCTGCTGTTTTCAAGAGCAAGGCCACTGTGTACAGTTGTTCAGACTGTGCACTGAGCAAGTCTGAGGGTTATCATTCATGTTACTATCTGTGTAAATGGTACTCTCTGGAGTTGTGCAGCATGCAAATTCCATAGGCACATGCAGCAGTCCTAACAAAGAGACAGCGCCCCAGTGAGCAGTGGAGGGTAGTGCCACCCACAGACGTGAACAATGAGAGAGCCCTTCCAGTAGATTCCAGCTAGAATCAGAGGGGACAACCAGGCAGCCAGGCATGGGTGGTCTAAACAATTGGGAGGGTTTTAAAAGACCCTAAGAACTTGGACCACTTAGAAGAGAAGTGTTTCTGCCAACACTTGGATGAGAAAAACCCTGTGAGCACGGCCAGCTCAAAGAATGCAGACTTCGCTTTCGTTACCCTGACCATAGTCTTTCAAACCAAGCATGTAGGCTCAAGGTCTAGCACAAGAATTTTGTTCCCCTGATGGGGACGAAAAGCTTAAACGCAAAAACGTCCTACACTCTGGGACACTGAGATTGTTCCTGGGTCAGAAGCAGAACACTTGCCATCAGGGCTCTCAAAAATAACACAAAGAGATGGAGTCAAGGAGGGGGCTCACTCAAGACCACCACCCCCCCATCCTTCAGATAAGGCCTGTCTTGGCTCGGGTTCCCCTATAGAAGCCCTAAGACAAGGGCTTGGGAAAGAGGTTGCTTATCAGGGAGGGGAACCAACGAAGCAAAAGTGAGGGAGATAAACCCATGACAGACATGTCACTGGGCAAGTTGCTGCTGTGGGAAACTGGGGTGCAGTCCCAGTGGGGCCTCTGGAAACCATGTGGAACGTGCCTCAGAGTCACTAGGAGAAGGGCAGGTTGAGGATTGCGCCCAGGGTGTTATCTCCCCCACACTTTAAATTGGCTCCTGATGGAGGCTGAGCAGGTCCCTTTGGTACCAGAGAGAACCCTCAGGCATGGAAAAAGAAAGGCATAGAGCTTAGGAGATGAAGGGAACTGTCTACAGCCGCAGGTGGCCTCTGGGAGGCCCAGAAGATACAAGGCAGGACATCAGTAACATCTTCTGTAGGCTCTGATCTCAGCGTCTCCTAGCCGGCCTGACTGCCTGCCCCATTCTTCTCTTTTAGAAAAATCAAGTGCCTTAGAAAAACACGTCTCTGTTCAGGGGTCCCAGCTGCCATCTACCATGGAAAGAGCCAGGTGAATCTATGAGTAGAATTGGAGTTGAATGACCCCTGAGGACTTTGCACTAAGCTTACACCAAGGAAGATCCTTTGTCCAGGGCTGTCCCACCTTGGCAGGTTTGGTGACACCTGTCCTCCTTAAATGGGGGTACCCTGAAGGTTGCTTACCTTGGTTCAGGCATCAATTCAAATAGAGACTGCAGCCAAGAAATCACGAGAAGGCTGACTCAGAAGAGGGGCCGTGGGAGTTAGGGAAGATCACCAAGAGCAAAGATGTGTCATTAGAGACCAAGGCTAAGGTCATCCAGACCCTCATAGTCCCAATCACTATGTACGGATGCGGAAGTTGGACAGTGAAGAAGGCTGATGGGGAAAAAAATGGACTCATTTGAAATGCAATGCTGGAGAAGAGCCCTACGGATACCCTGGAGCTCCAGAAAGATGAACAAGTGGGTCCTAGAGTACATTAAGCCCAAAACATCGCTGGAGGCAAAAATGACAAAACCGAAGCTGTCCTACTGCGGGCATATCATAAGAAGGCAGGGTTCTTTGGAGAAAACAATAATACTGGGGAAAATAGAAGACAACAGGGAAAGAGAAAGACCAGATATGAGATGGAATGACACCATATAAGAAACCACAGGCCTGAGTCCACAGGAGCTGAGCAGGGCTGTTGAGGACAGGACACTGTGGATGTCACTCATTCATAGGGTCACCAGGAGTTGGAGCCCACTCAATGGCACATGACCCACACCCTGATGGCTGATTTTTATTTTACTCCAGGATATTCTCGGTGGCTGGTGGAGAGGACAAATTCCTAATTACATATGCAGAGCTTTACCAGTTTTAAAATGGTGCCATTTTCGTTGCACAGTCACCTTGAGAGGTTAGCATCACAATCCACATTTACTTAATAAACACACCGAGGTGATTTATGGCAGGGCCCATCCCAGGGGCCTTCAACGGGAAGCTGGTGGCATCCTAAAGCTGCTCCCAGGATGAAAGTCCCCTGCAGAACTGGACAATGAAAGTCACGCCCTGAGATGGCTATCACCCAAGATGTACCCCTCCGGGTTTGGGGTGGTGGTGGCTTCCCCCTGTTGCTAATCTCCAGGAGACCTCACAATTCCCTGTTGAGTGTCTCAGCTCACCCCTCGGTGTAGCCCATTCCCTATTTAAACACCCTAGAGGGGTTTTGAACCAGAGGCTTAGAAATACCTAATAGGGTATTTCTATTTCTCGGTCTGGCCCATGGCTGATCCAAAACACTATCTAAAACATTACCCCTGCTCCAACATCTACTATCCCCTTGTCTGCTTTCTTTGTTCTCTTTAGCAACAACTACTCTCCAATACACTATATAGTTTTCTCTCGTCGTTACCTCCTCCACTAAACGAGTGCCCAGAGTTTCCTCTTCTTGCTCACTGCTGTATCCCTGGTGCCTTAAGCAGTCCCTGGCACACAGACGGTGCTCAGTGAATATCTGTCAGAGCCTCTGGCCACTCCGTTTCAGACCCAGACATGGGCCTGGGGGGCCTAATGTGCGGATTCCCAGCTGCCCCTCCATCTCCAGCCTGAATCCCATGCCCAGCCCCAGTCACCCACCGTCAGTGTCCTCACTAGCCATCTGTGTGTCGGACCAGTGAGGCTGAGTGAGCAGTCACAAACCAGGCACTTGCTGGTCTCACGGGCGACACCAGCGGCCTTGGCAACCCTGCACTGAAGGAGACACACAGAACCTTAGAGAGCATGAGACGGGGAGAGGCAAATTGGAGCTGCTGGGCGCCAGGCGTGTCTGCCTGTGTGTGTCTGGTGTGCGTGGTGTGTGTGTGTGACATGGGTATGTTTGTTTGGCCCCAACACATGGAAGTACCTGCAACTCATAAAAAGAATCACAAGGGGACTCCACTAGGATATCCCTCCCTGCTGAGGACAAAACTGGGGCCCCAAGACACCCCCAAATTGTTCAGTGAGAACTGGAGCATCCAAGGCTGTCATTCTGGGCTGAAGCCCCCAAGGGAGCTATTCCTTGAAACAGACTGGGGTAACTACACTCCTGGGGGGAGGGATGGGTCCTATAGATAGAGGGCGGGTGGGGGTCCCTGGAGAGTGGTGGGAAGTCACACAGGGGACCTAGAAGAAGAGGGCTCTCTGGAAGAGAGGCAAGCCCAAGGAGGCCCATGAGAGAGGCACTTCTCAGGGCTTTCCTGGGCTCGGTAAACAGCCGTACTTCGTTAACTACTTTTGTGCCCCCGTTTAGGGGGAATTCCTCTAAGGGGCCTGGCCCTGCAGCACAGAAAGTGGGCAATACCACCCAGGCTTGCAGTGGTGTGAAGTGCAAAGAGGGGTGCCAGTGAGGAAGTGCAGCCTCCCCACAGCCCCCTCTGCTGGCACCTGGGCCCGAGCATCCTTTGGAAGGGATGGTGTCCAGGGGGCAGCCAGCATCAGATGAAGAGCTGGGATGGGCAGCGAAGGAGCCGTGACAGACGGACGACTTGGGCAAGAGACACTGTAGTCCTAAGTCTTGGCTGGCATACAGGGGTAGGCGGTGGCCTTCCCGGGGACGGTGAGCCAGACGGCAGTGCCAGAGTGCTGGACAAGGTGACCTCCCCCAGCTGGCACTGGGCTCCTTATGAGCCCGTAGCCCCCGCCAGCCTCCTAGCCTGAGTGGGGCAGGGGCTGAGCCAGGCCATCCA